TTAACGATTTTAATACTACATTCTGAGCTCCAGAATAACTAAACTCCTTTTTATTTTCATCATAATCGTCAATAGTTCCTCTTGTCCATAAAGCAGTATAAATAGAACTGAATCCACCTTCTGTTAACTTTTCTATATTATAAAATTGCTCATAAGGTATCCATTCTATAATGTGCTTTGGAAGAGATGAAAGCTGTTGACATTTTTGAATAAAACCATCAATTATCTCACTTCCAGATGTCCAAGTGCTGAAAAGGCTCTGTAAATGTAGGCTAATACACTTTTCACAAAACATATCAGAGTATCTTGTTGTCTCACAATCATTGCATTCTCTTGGTTCACCCAATTTATAAGTTGCATTCTCTAATTCAAAATTATAAATAAACTCTTCTCTACAAAATTCTTTTTCATTTTCTAATAGTACTTTGTTTTCTTTGACTAATTGTAAAAAATAACTTTTTCCATTTTCTCAGTTGGAAAAGCAGAATAAGCAATACCACGCATTTCATTATAAATTTTAAGTACTGATTCTCTTCTGTCTAGTGTTAATAATTTAGCAAAGGACATTTTAACTTAATATTTATTTTTTTAAATTTTTAAAAATAATTTTGTATACTTTGTTTGACAACATTTCTTTTTGTGGTATTTTGACGATCCGTCTATAAATGAGTCTCAAGGAGCAACTTACTGCGCCTCAAAAACATTTCCCAAATAACAATTGTTCTGCCGCGTGATTTCAGAATGCTTTCGGTCACGTGATTACAAAAGATCATTCCATAAACGGGAAAAATCGGTAATAAAATAAATCTCATTTTTTGAAATGCGAAAAGGAAAGATATTATTTCCATTTTTGAATATAGTGTAGTATAATATGTCTAGTTTATTGGTACCCCGATGTATATATATGAGACCATTTAGATTATTTTAAATGACAGTTTGTTCTTTATGATTTAAATGGGTTAATTCCACTTTTTTTTTTGTTGGCACCTTCAAACAAAAGTTTGTTTTTGTATGTCATTTTCTTAAAATCCTTGTTATTATGCCCATTGTTCAATATATCTAATGCTAACTTCCCAAGTTGGGAAATGCATACTAGAATCCTATTTTATGTTCTCATTCTCATTCTCATCCTCCTCGATATCATCACTTACTATCTTCTTAAAAACGTGGTGGTTGGTATAAATTCGCTTTCGTTTTCAGAATCACAAGTTAATGTAAATACATTATGATCAACAAAGTTTTTATTTTTATTTTTATGATATTAAAATCTTACGCGTAGGATATATACAGTATATCTAATTTCCTTATTCATTTACAATAGACAAAAAAAGCCTGTATAAACATTTATTTTTTCATTTGTCTTAAAAAAGTCAAGATACTCACCGAGACCTAAAGTTGCGATTTCAAAGGAGAGTCGGTGGTCCAATGAAAATTTATCGCCATTGAATTATGACATTTTGAAAAAGATTGACTATGTTAGCTTCAACACGTAATAGTAATAGTAAAGCCACACAACCCAAAATTTCGGTGGGTAAGAGGCGTGACACTTGCGTGACGGGCAAATATCGGGGAAGGGAAAGAGACAGGAGTGGTGGGCATTTTTGACTGTTGTAGATGTTCTAATTACTAGTAAATAAGAATGATTTATTTATTATTTGACATTTTGTAATTAAAAATTATTGAAAACTATTTGATTGATTTTTTCTTTTTCTTGTTGTGATTTTGTTAATTTCAAAACTTTTACTCCATGACTTGGCACCTCTGCGGAATACCTTTTTAATGATGAAAGTTTTAATTCAAAGTCAATTATTTAAAATCTATTATTCAAAAAAAATTTGTTTTTACCTGTTAGTGAACACCCCGATATCTTTATGATCCCATAAATCTCTAATTAGAAATGTTGAATTTGCTTTTCCGATATGTTTAGAAAAAACAACAGAGATGGTTATTGGTGACGAATTATCAAGATTTAAAAGGACTATGGAGGAGGAGTGAGTGAATTGATTAGTAGCAATCACTAGTAGCAACCACCGATAATTACAAAAACAGCTACACTACGACTTACTGACTACATAACCATCAATCAATGGACCAGTCCAAATATTATGATTTTTGGATTGTTCGACAATATTTATAGATCTACCGAGTGGATCTTGCTAATAATCGGGAGGTTAAGAGTGAGTGAGAATGATATTTATTTTTTTAGTAAACATGTATATAAGATAATTATGCACTCTACATTTATAGCTATAATTTCTTGATTCTTGACAATCTCGAGAGTTGCTTTTGGAGGATTAATCAACTAAAGTAATAATAATGTTAGATATTTATACCGACTAATTGATTTACTTGACAATTCAAAAGAAAGGAATCTACCCATACATTAAATCCCAGTAAAAGTGGAGCTTTCAAAGCAGCCCAAAGGGAGAAATGAGCCTTTTGTTCTTCGATGGTTAGTCGGCCATTGCCGACTTGTAACATGTCAGGGTCGTTCCAACCACCTGGACCGGAATATTTAGTTATGGCTTGATTTCTTTTCAATATTGAAATGATTGAACTCCAATTTGGGTGTATGTCTCCTGTTGTTCTCCAACTATATATATATATATAATGGATAATTGTGTGGATGTTGGATATTATTGTTGTTGTTAATAATTATGATCAATGGAATATTGATAATGGCTTACCTGTTTCCAACTGAAGGTCCCCACAAATATGGTTTGCTTCTTCTGCAATAGTCAATTAATTAACCAATCAACAACAATATTAACAATAATATTAACAATAATATTTAAATTGTTGTTACCCCCATTCACATATGCTGAAAAATATTGGTCTTCCAGTAGCTGTAAAATTGGACAAATTAAGCTTTAATTTCTGATAAAGAAATTATCACCAACGTTATTAATATTTGATTGCAGATTTTTACCATTAAGCGCATCTCTCATAACCTAACAACATTGATTAACAACAGATCAGTCAATTAAAGATATTAATTAAATCTAAAAAGAAGCAAGTAAATGATCATTTATTTACAGTGTATCTTTGCAATTCAGGAGTGCCGTCGTTATTACAATTATCATATTTCAAATAGTCAACATCCCACGAAGCAAATGTTTGGGCATCCTTATACTCGTACCCTATAAACTTGAGATTAATATTAGGACTGAGATTGATTTAAATTGAGATTTAGTCATGAGATATTAACATAAATGAATTAATTTACCGAGACTCCCAGGACGTTTCGCACAAGTTAAATAACCAGCATCGCTATAAATACCAAACAGCAATCCTTTGGAGTGAACATAATCAGCCAAGGCTAATAATAATAATAATAATAATAATAATAATTAGTAATCGATGTTTCATAGTACAAACTAATCGAGTGATTGGTTTATTGGTTCACCTTTTATGCCACTTGGAAAACTATTAAATAAAAATTTTAATTAACCACATGCACGTTCTCACATATATTTAAATGATATGCAATTACGACTCACGTGATATTATTAGAAGTAATAAAACCATTCTCGTCCCTTTTTCCTTCCCAGCAATCGTCTAAAATTGGATAATTAAAATGGCTGGAGTTATCAAAGGATCAGAAATTGAATTAACTGTTTATAGTTAGCTGATTACCCATATTCAAGTATTTATAGCCAACTTGATATAGTCCATTGTCGATTAATGAATCGGCAGTTTTCTTGATCAAGTTTTCATTTATTCGAGTATGATACTAGACTCGATTGATGATTGTTAGCACAAATATGGAAAATAATAATATAAATTCAATTTAAATTCAATTCAGTTGGAATTCCAATAATTTTAATTATTAATCCAAATTAGTAAATAAATACATACATAATTCCAACTATTCCATCCCATTGGAGGAGTCAATCCAACTCCGTTATCCAAGCAATCGACAACAAAATTTAATAATAATAATAGTAATATTAGCAAACAAATCATTGTTAATTTATTAATTGTGTATTGATTTGTTTTTTTTTAAAAAAAAAGTTACAGTAACATAAAAAAAACAAGATATTTATATATTCCGTTAACCAATTATTTTAATCGATATTGTAATTAATACTAATTAGTTAAAAATAAAACTTTTAATTGGTTTCTTTGTTTTTTAAATCGCCAGTTCCGAATATATTAAGAAAAATCGATCCACATTTTTTGGTGTGCCCCGTGTTTAAGTTTAAACTATTTTGAGTAAATATATTTTTGATATATTGTGAATGCACCATGACTGTATTAGGACCCTTTTTTATACCATATAAAAGCCATTTATATTTTTATAATATAATAAAAAAAATTTTTATCCCACCTAAAGAATCTTTATAGTAAAAGGTATAGTTCATCTATAAACATATAGATAGATGTTTATTAAATAAACTACGCCATCATATAATCTAATCATACTATTTTAAACCTACTACATACATACAATACTACACTTTTTTTTTATTTTTTTTTTTCAATTCTTCAAATTTTCTTTTGAATTCAAAAAACGAAAATATCAACAATTAATAATTATATATATATTATTTCAAAAATAAAAAATCTTCTCGACAATTGAAAAAAAAAAAAACAATTAAATAATCAAAATAAATAAACAATAAAGACAATCAATAAACAAAATAAACAAATTACAAATAAACGCGTCACGAAGAATTGTTTATATTCTCACATTCTCACGCACATATATCTATATTATACAGCATTATATTCATAATCCTCTCTACTCGAAAAGAAAAAAATTTTTTTTCGTAATCTATAAAAAAAACCCCTTTTTCAGAATTAGCATAGTTATAAATCTTAAAATAATAATAATAATAAATAATGTTTGCACCCAGATCTTCAAGACCTGCTACAGTTGCCATCTATCCTTCAAATAATAAGCCTGGGTTCAGAAGAAAAAAAAAAGGAGAAAATTCTACACCTGCTGTTTGTATTTATTATTATTATTATTGTTATTGTTATTTTGTTGTTGTTGAATGATTAATTTAATAAACTTCAATCAAGGTTTTAATTCCATAAAAAATTCAAAACTTTTAGATTGAACTTGAACGCATAATAGGATTAACAACATTGAAACCAACAGCTTTAACCACCGCTCCATCTCTAGATCTTGTAGCATATGCAGCTGGTGCTGTCGTCACATTATATAATCATAAGAAAAACAAACAGATTGGTTTCTTATATGCTTCATCAGCAACTCTACCAAATCCTCAAGCCGCAAATCAATCAAATAATTCTGCTCCTTCGTCATGGTCTGCCGCCTTTCAAAATCGTCATACAATTGCCGGAGATGTAATGGCTAGTCCATTGGGTACTGGTACTTCTTTGGGTGTAATAGATCCCCAGAGTTCAATATCCGGAAATTCATCAAATTCTAAAAAAATACCTGTAAATAACAAAGCAAAACCAATATCCTGTCTTGCCTTTTCACCCGATGGAGTCTATTTGGCTGTTGGCGAGGTGAATAATTGCTGTTTTTTTTTTTTGCCTAAATTTCGCTTTTTATTATTAATTGCTATTGGTTCTATTGATTCTGTCGATTGTTAGAGTGGACATCAACCACGTATTTTAATATGGGAGGTTCAAACAAAAACTTTAATTAATGAATTAAAAGGTCATAAATTTGGCGTGCTAGCACTTAGCTTTTCTCCAAATATGAAATTCATTGTATCTTTGGGGTTTCAAGTACGTCTATGTTTAGTGTAGATATATATATATATATATATCGATAATAATATTTATTATTTAACAATTAACTAATCTTCCTTACCAATCTTCTCATCATTCCATCACCCATTCTCCACTACCTTCTATCTCTCAATATAAGCATGATGGATATTTAAATTTATGGAATTGGAAAACTGGAGTAAAAATTGCTTGCAATAAAGTTACTACCAAAGTTCATACTTTGGCATTCAATCGAACTGGTTCTTACATTGTTACAGCTGGTCTGAGACATGTCAAGTTTTGGTATCTTGATCCAAACGGAAATTTACCAAAAAAATCTGCCGTAATTATTACATTGATTTATTTTTTGTTGCATATATTATTATTAAATTAGCATGCATGCATACATACATACATATGTATACTTTTAAGCAAAATATTAAATTTTCTTTTTTCCCTTTATATTTATATATTTAGGGACAATCAATACAAAAATCATTAGTACAAGTGTTGGATGGCAGATCTGGGATATTGGGTGATCTGAGAGATAGTAATTTCGTTGATGCTGTTTGCTGTAAAAAATCTGATAACACATATTTTGTCACTTCGAATGGTCTGTTGTGCATGTTTACGGAGGGTAGACTAATGGATAAATGGGTGAATTTGCAGGTAAATTAAATAAATTTTGGGTGGTGCGAAAGTTTGCATGTATGTAAATGTGGTGACTAATTAGTTTATCTTTATTTTTACGGAGTAGGCCAAAGGTGCCTTTTCTATTGTTGCTAGTGAACAATATGTGATTTGTGCTTGTACAGATGGTGTGATCAGGTTGGAAATATTTTTCATATATATATATATATATATATATATTACACGTATATTTACTTGTACAGTATTTGCATAAATTTATATATTAACACCATCATTTATTATATCATCAATAATATAAGACTATTTGAACCTATGACTTTAAAGTATTTGGGCACATTGCCAAAACCTCACCCATTAGGTGTTGATTTAACTCTTCAGACTGGATCCACCTATAATAGTACAGGTGGCCCAAACGATATTTATCCTGACACTACTGCTATTAAATTAGATGATGAGACTGGTAAATTGTCTTGCATATACAGTGACAGGAGTTTCTTTATATGGGATATTAAAGATATAAAAAAAATTGGAAAATATCGTAGTTTCTTGTCTCATTGTGACACTATTTGGGGTGTTGAGGTAACATTAAATAATGTTGCTAAAGAAATATTATTAATAATAATAACGTTGTTATCGGTATCTTGTCGTTTAATCTTTATTTATTTTTGGATTTAAAGATGATTCCTAATAACGAGGATTCATCAACTAGTGAAAAATCAACTTCCTCAAGATTACCCGATAATACATTTGTAACTTATTCATCTGATAGTACTATACGTTTCTGGAATTTAGATCAAAATTCAAACTCATCATCATCTAATGCTAATAGTCATAATCGTAATAGTAGTAGCACCAGTAATAGTAATGTCATCAAAAAAAATATTTATAGCAAGGAATGTTTAAAAATAGTTTATGTCGATCCAAATGGTACTTATCAAATGTGTGCTACTTTGGGTGCTAAAAATGATGACTCTGGTAACAATCATGATTATTATTAAATTATAATTTATTTGTAAATAAATATCGATTTTTTAATTAATACTTTTCTGTAAACATTTTTATAAATTAATTATTAATATTTTACTAGAATCGTCATCATCAACTGATAATCATCAACCTGTTATAAGTGATGGCGGTGTTCGTACATTAAGAATTAGTCCTGATGGTAAATTAATGGCTTCCGGTGATCGTAATGGTAATTTAAGGTAACAATGGTTTTTTGACCGTTGAATATTACAATTTTTTATTATTTTTAAAGAAAATAAATTTATTAACCTTGAACGTTTTACGTCATTAATAGAGTTCACAATCTTGATGATTTTCAACAAATGACTTATCAAGAAGCTCATGATGCTGAAATATTGGCTATCGAATTCACTGATGGAAAATTACCCGGTATTAATTTCATTAATTGAATTGAAATAGTCTATATATCGTCATCATCTTTATTAACACGTCATCATTTCTTCTTCATTTAAAATTTAAAAAAGAATCTCCGTATTTGATTGCAACAGCAAGTCGTGATAGAATCTTGCATATTTTCGATATTAATTCTAATTTCCAACTGATACAAACATTGGATGATCATTCCTCGTCAATAACCGCTATCAAATTTACAAACGATGGTGGTAGGTTGATAAGTTGTGGTGCTGATAAAAGTATCATATTCAGAAGTAAACAAAATGTATGTTAAATATATATAAAAAATTTCCATTCATTATTTCTTGGTTTTTTTTTTTATTAAAATAATGATGGTTTATACTTCTTATATACACAACACCATTAACATCTTACAGACTAGCGATTTCCCTTATTATGCAACTTATCATAATATATCAGGAAGAGCTACAGTATTTGACATGGACATTGACGTATCCAATCGCTACATTGCAACTGTGTCAGGTGAACGTCGTCTAAATGTTTACCACATAGACACTGGCAAGAACGTTCGCTCATACAAATCCGACACACCCGATGAAGTGAATGTTCAAGATCAAGGCAGCTTACTAAGAATATCACTGGATCCTGGTGGTGTATGTGCCGTTACTGGTGGTTCAGACAAAAGTGTAAGATTATTTGATTTTTCAAATGGTACCATATTAGGAAAAGTATTGGGCCATTCGGAATTGATCACCTGTGTGAAATTTACTTCGGATTGTGAACGTGTCATTTCCACATCGGCTGATGGATGTATTTTTGTTTGGAAAATTTCTGATGAGTTGGTTAATAAAATGAAACAAAAATGGTTGGATAGAAGCAATTGTACTGGTACTAACAGCGGTAGATCATTTTCACCTGTAATGCATAGCTCACCTCCGCTGCCTTCATCATCATCTTCATCGTCTTCTTCTGCTACCACTTCTGCTCCGTCTATTATACATCCTAGAACTACTGTACCTGCTTTAAGACCAAATACATTGTTTGCAGAAAATCCATCATCATCAGCAGCATCAACTTCAACGAGTTCATTAGTTCCGCAACAATCAAATCATGAAGACTCGAATTCTCAAGAACCTAATTTTATTGTTCGCAAATCACCTTTAAAAACAACAAAATCTTATAGTTCATTAACATCGTCATCAATAAATGGTAATCCATCATTACCATCACCACCGTCGTCGTCGTCGTCATCATCATCATCATCACAACAAAAAAGACTAAATTCTTATCCTGATATAAATAATAGCTTGACACAAAATAAATCTGCATCAACTTCAAAACTGAATTTAGAAATTTCTTCTTCCACTGCTACTTCAGGCAAAAGTAACAGTAATCAACAAATATCATTTGCAAACTCATCTCCACCAAATAGTCCGCCTTCGCAAGGTTCGCCATCGACTACAAGAAGAGAATCTTGGAAACTTGGTTTACCAAGTTGGGCCAAAAAAGCTTTTAAAGAAAAAGATGATGAAAGGGCTACTTTTAATAATAATAGTAATAATAATAATAATAATAATAATAATAATAATAATAGCGGTAGCAGCAGTAATGTAGATAAAAGATTGCCACTATTACCAAAAACTGTTAAAAAATCAAAATCTTATGGTAGAATACGCCATGACTCATTTACATCATCTCCATCGCCATCAATTGGTGCAGGCGTAAATAATAAAATACCAGTTATTACTGTTAATAAAAATAAAATGGTGTCATTAGACGATTCAGTTATCACTTTATCATCACCAGTATCAAATATTAACAATAATCAACGACATCAACCAGTAGTAGCAAATGAAGATGAATCTGATTATGAAGTGTTTTTATTTTTTTATTTTTTGTAACATTAAAATTATAATGTAACTGCTTTAAGAGTTCTATTAGTATATATGCCAATAATTGCCACTCACCTATCTTTTATTAGTAATTGAATATCATCATCTCTGTTCTCCGATTTCATTCTAATTCAACAACTATTGGAATGACAATGAGTACTTGAAAATTTTCATTGTATTTCTGTTGAAGTATCTCTTGCACCTCATTATTTGAGCTTTAGCATTATAAAGAAATGAGCAGCATACTGTCACTGAAGAAGATTGTGCACTGTCAGCCTTAGGTAAGTGGTTACATAATTTTGCCTGAAGATAAACAAAAATACCTAGTTGAAGAAAATAAACCAGGTCATTATAAGTGCATGTGGTTTTCCTAATTATTTTCAGGAAAATTACATTAGCCATAACATCGGGTCCAGCTTGTGATTCTGGTAAAAATAATGGAGGCAGTCAGTACTCTTTAGTTAATATATTAAAAATATTGTGCACTAATCTTTTACAACTGTTTTCCTGATAAAAATGTGAAATTATTGATGAACATACATTATTTGTTTTGCATAACAAAATATTCATTAATTATGATTTAAAGACCATAAATTCAGACTATTTGCCTCTGCTTCCTTGATAAAATAAGTTGAGACCATTGTAGCATAGAATCGTTTTTGAACAATAAAATTGTGCACCAATTAATTTACTCTTAATAATAATAAATCATTAACTAACAATCGAAACCATTTGGTGGTAATCTGATCAATCAAAATTTCATCCATGATTTGTGACACTTTTAGTTGCTCCCAGTATACTTTAAGCAATGGATATATAATCAAGGTGGTGTTAGAATTCTGCTCATAAATATTTGCTTGTCTCAGTATATAAAGTCAAACTTGCTGTCGTCATATTCTAATTTTGTCAACAGCCACCTTGCAATGCCTACATACTGACAAAAAACCACATAGTGAGGCCTGATTACAAATTGCGACCCATATTAACATAGTTATCTTTTCTTAGTTTTTTATTCCAGATTCTTGTTAAATCAAGGGGAATATATTACTTATTAATAATGCTAATTAATTATATAGTAACAAAGATTGTTTGATTGTTTGTAATAATATGACTTTAGTTCTGATAAACTTCTCTGGTTTCAATTTTCTGTTTAAAGAAACAAAAGGACTGTTACAAATACAAACTTTAAATATTTGTCGTGATGTCATAATTGAAAAAAAAAACAGAAATCAAATTAATGTAATAGTAGCCTGGTATAAACGGTTTCTGGTAGCCTTAAAAGAACTTTACACAAATAAATTTCAACTATGAAGGAAAAGATAGCAGTGCTTTTATTTTTAGTGCGCTCTTTAAAAAGAAAATCAATATCTATGGAGCAATAAATATAAAAGAACCAAGGGTTCAATGACAATTGAGGTAAGTCTATCTAGGACTTTAAATTGGTTATAATAAATTTTATTATTATTGTCTTTTTGAAATCAAGGGATAAAGTTTTAACTGAATTTGAAATCAAGTATTTCTGGTTATTATTATGAAATTTGCATTTGGATTTACTCTTCTGTTATTATTACACTTTAGCATACTCATTTACTATATCTATATTTTACTGTAGGAGAAATTAAAGAAATTCAAGGGAAAAAAAAAAAACTCTTTCTGCTGATCATTTGAATAAAAATTTTCAAAGAAAAGAATTTACTGTTTTAATTAAAACAACCAAATCAAAAACATATTTTACTTTATTTTTCATCCATACAATAGTTATTAATCCTAGTTAAG